GCCTCGCCCTCTCTCTCTCTCCGCTCTCGTCCGCCTCCTGCCTCTCCCTCCATCTCTCTTCTTTCTCTTCTCCCCCTCCCGCCTCTTACTCTGTGTTTCTCTTCTCCTCCTCCTCCTGCTGCGTCTCTCTCACTCTCTCTCTCATTGTCCTCCGCCTCCTCCATTCTCCTCTCTGTCTCCTCCGTGTCCTCTGTGTCTGTTCCGCTTTCCTCCTTTTGAATCTGGTGCCCTTTCCTGACGTCAGAGATGCACGCTCGCCCAGGCCCCGCCCCTTGGCTGTTCCCTTTGGGCAGCGCTGTTGCCTCCGGCCACCGTGCAAGAGCAAGTGGTGCAAGCGGTCGTTTGGGCCCCGGACTCTCCATGCAGCACCACATGGCGGCCCAGCTGAGTGGCGCAGAAGTCAGCCAAACGCCACGGCAGGAGGCAACAGCGCCACCCAGAGGGAACAGCCAGCGTTTCAGCATTACAGAGTCACAGACATTGGGCTACTATATATATATAATGATGGAAAGCTAATAAGGGACTTCTACAGAGTTTTAGGCTCCTCTGGGCCATAGGGACTTGTTATTTTCCTGGGTGTCACAGTCTTGAAGTTTGTCTTTACTTCTGCAGTCAGTAAACCCTTCATAAGTTCCATGTAGGCCCATGAGAGTGTCATTAACACTTCCAGGGGCCTTGGAGACTCAATTAAGAGACTCTAGCGACTCAGAGTTTCCAAAGAATATTTCTAAAATGAAACACCCAACATTATTGTAAGGCTCTAATTCTCATTAAGGACAAAGGACAAAAATTAATGTGAAGATTTTTAGTTAAGATGTCAATAAAATGTGATATTCTGAACAAATTAAACTCCAGAAAGTGAAAGCCTTACTCAAGTTCTTAATTCTGAAATAAATCCACGTAACCTTAGCTTTGTTTTAGCTTTAATAACAAACTGAATAAATACTCGGACAGAAATATAGACATGATAAAAAGCAAGAAGAAAGGAGTTATTCTGAGGAAGTTGTGAGGGAAAGATTATGGTAGTTACAATCTTTATTATGGGGTACGATCACAACTTCATAATAAGTGGTCAAACTTTGAGATAGAAGAGAGCACTTTTCTTTACAAACTTTTAAAATTATACAGCAAAGCCATAAACAATGAAGTTGTTGTATTGCCAGTTTTACTGTGTAAGGTACTGCATAAGTGGGAAAAATATAACAAATTTTCACGTTAGTACTGTGTCACATGGGCAAGTCAGGAATTCCAAAACCAAATGAAATCTCCACTAC